CTCTCTCTCTCTCTCTCTCTCTCTCTCTCTCTCTTCTCTCTCTCTCTCTCTCTCTCTCTCTCTCTCTCTCTCTCTCTCTCTCTCTCTCTCTCTCTCGTTCTATCGCTACCGATATTCGTATTTGTCCGCTCGTCTTCGCCGACGTATTTTCCTTCGTCTTTCTATCTCTTTCCCCCTCGCTTCTTTGTACCATTTCTCAGGTTCCTATATAGTTCTTGTTTCTCTCGTATCTCTCCCTCTTTCTTTCTCACACACTCATTCTTTCTCTCCGTTAATCTGCCTCGCTGCCGTGATGCTACCCGATGTCGGCCGAGCGCGCTAACCAAACGGCTGGTATCTATGTCGTGCCTGTAGCACGCTACGTCCGCGTTCGTTCGACTTTAGCTCACGATATCGTTTCCTCGCGTTTCCGTTTTGTTTATTTTTCGGCTATTTCGCGGTTGCGCTGTGCCGACATAGTCGTGCACAGTCCACGATTTCACGTAAAATTCGCAACACCGATTGCCGCCATATATATTTTTTACCTCGTCTCAGTAGGTTAAATGAATCGTTTACTTTGAAAGTGGTTTGACTTAAAAACGCGTCGAATTTTAGTAAAATGTAAATTCGACGTATCTGTTTGAACAATATTTTAGAAATTCTTTATGCGGTGTTCGTTTATCTTGTAAATCTCAGTGCCGAAGAAAATTGGAGAAATAGCGAACTTGTGCAGAGAAAATTCGTGTATCTTACTGCGAAATTTTACTAAATTATTTAAAACAAAATTAGTACACATTATTCATTTATTGTATATTATTAATTATTTAATATTTGCAAACTCGCATTAATTGCATAACGACATAATGCGATTATTGTGAGATTCATAATCTTATTTTCAAAGTAAAAATTTAAGCGTCGAGGAATGTTGTCACCATTACTATATTGCCTGATTAGACTGATAACGCAACCTTCGACAGTGTTGTTCGATAATCGCACATTGAGATTTCTTTGATCAAACAATTCTACACATGTATTCTAAGCAATCATAATTACAAATTTTATAAGAATCGTGAATAGTTGAAACAAATTAATTTTTTGTAAAAAAGTGTTTTCCAGTATTCCTAACTAAAACAATGTCTTATACTTTTGCGATTCTCTGCTATAAAATTATTTCACGTGCTTAATTATATTTTTTTAAGTACGATAATAAATCTTAAGATAAGAGATGAAATATTCGTGCAAAATATTTCTAGTACTAGAGAGACTACGTTAAATAATTTCAAAACATAATAATGTCGTAATAAATGAGTGAAACGCGAGATTAAATTATCAGTAGTGAAATGTTTCATACATTAGCACGAATCATTGGACCGGTGGACACATTCCACTATCAACCAACGAACCGGCCAAACATTCAGCATCACTTTAAATGATTAAAGAGATACGTTGATCGTCACGGATAATCTAGCTCTAATAGCAGCCACTTACGCGCGACGCGCAATTTTTCATAATTGACAGGCGTCCCGACACTCTCCCTTCTATTTTTGCGAAACGCAAGATTTCGAAATCGCACTAGTGCTTTCGCAACTACCTATTTCTTTTCGCCTCATCATCTTTGAAATAAACCGTTAAAGAAATATTTGAGGACATTTTGAACGTGTCTCTTATAAAACAGCAGGACTCTTCCTGCCGCTGCTCGAGGTATCGATTAGGTCGATTTCTGCGCAATGTCCGACACAGCTTAGAAACATCGCGCAGCGAAAAGTACGATTCGGATTCTGTCAGATAAATAAAGGTATAGAGAGCAGCTTTTTAATTTAAGTATATTTAACAGATAACTTGAGAATTAAACTGAAAATGAAAGAGTGCGCATGCAACTGGAGTAAATCTATACTGTAGAATAGTTCTTCCATTCATTTTGATTACGAAAATCTTTGAGTTTCAATGAAAAGTAATGAAAGATAATTTTATATAAAATTGAGGAGAGAAAAATAAGCAAGAATGATAACAAATGAATGTACTTAATATTTTATATAAATTAATATTTTACATAATTATTTTTAAGCAAAGAATAAAACTCAAAACGTAACATTCGTTATTCGTTTTTTAAATATGCTAATCCATCAAGCAGTGATTAAAATAAATTGAGTTTAATTAAAGTTCAGAATTTCAAGTTGCCGATCTATTTTGTTTTGATATAATAATCAATTATTATATGAGCGACCTTAATATCATATAAGTCTTCGAATATTGTCCTTATCACAATGATAGATGAAAATCGACTCGAATTTTCACTCAATTTTTTTTCAACGTGAGTGAGCGTGCGTTTCTCGTGGAAGTAAATATTTCCTTCGCGTTCGTCGGGTCGGTAATTCATTTTCGCCATCCGGCATTATGATTCAACGAGCCAGCTTTTTGCCTGAAAGTCTCGTTAAATCGTCTGGTCTTTATAAGATAATTCGCGCACAACCGTATCAATGTTTAAAAAGATTATGTCTGCGGACTGGCGGATTGAATATCGCTACATTGTCGGTTTTTAACCGGAAAAAATACAATGTTATTTAGCTAATTAAAAATTTTTTTCTTTATCTAACTTGTTAAATATTATTTAAGAAAATAACTATCAATAGACTTTATATCAATAAACTCATAAACTACATGTTTACTTTAATTCTAAAGTAAATCGAATAAAGTAAAAAAAAAAACAGAACAAAGTAAGATAAAATTAGGCTACAAAATTTCAAATAAGACAAATTTTATTTTTGCTTTTGAATTTTTTATTTTTCAGTCAATAAAATTCTATCTATATAAAACTTTATTTTATAAATTATTTAGTAAATTAAAAAGATTTAACAAGATTGAATGGTTATAAATTAAAAATTTCAAAAAATGTTACTTTTACAAATAACATTTATTTTTATTAGATAATTACCTAGATGAATTATTGTTTGCATTCGTTTTGCACGTGAGAAATATTTTCATATATGACGCTTATTATTTTCTACTACTGATATTGGCACATAAATTTTCATCAGCGAGGAATAATATCAAGAGTATGGATATTTATATAACCAATTTCTATTAGGACAATTGAAATAAAACTGATTTCTGACTAATGATTTATTAAGAATCAATATATATAATCGGGCGTTTTTAAATTGGCGTTTTTGTCAAAGAAAGTTAGATAGATGTGGATACTTATGCTGTAGTTAGAAAAAGAGCACGAGATGTTTAGAATAAACTTATCTCGTTTATATGAATGCATTAAAATAGACATCGGATTCTCTAATCTGTTTAATATTATTAAAAGTCATCGATCGTATTGAAGGGATACTAATAAAAGTGAAAGTGATTACCATTAGATTT